GGGGCAGCCAACTCACAACTTGCACGCCTGGCGCCGGCAACTTGGTGCCACCACTGAGCAGTCCAGGGAGGGGGCCGGGCCGGGCCGGGGCGGCGAGAAAAAGTTCCCGCGGGCGCAGATTCTCGAGGAGGCCTGTCCTGAGTCCGCGTGGGGCTGAAGTTTGGGATCACTTTGGAGCACGGTTGGGGATAGCTTGGGGGTGGGGGTGAATTGGGATTCTGCAGGGAAGGGTAAGGAGCGGCGGGGCTGCCCCCGACTCCAGCTCCCAGGGGCGGTTGGCGGACGTGCGTGCTCTGGAGCGCACCCGCGTCGGGGGGCTGGGGGCGAGCTCAGAGAGTGGGTCCAGCCTCGACCCCGAGGTCAGCTGGAAGGAGGAGGCACTGCTGTCCCCCCGGCCCAGGTTCTGTGATACACTCCGACTCGGGCTCTGGAGCAGTCAGTGCATGACAGAACTTGGGCTCGGGCGGACCTTCCGCACCCAAAGTGCAGAGCGCCCACCAGGGGCCTGAAGTAGAACATCTGCCTGGGAGTGGAGCAGGACCGGAGTTGGCCCCTGTGGGGACAGGTTGGGCCACAGCCAGCTATGGATCTTTGGGGCTGGGGTCACTGGACCCTGAACATGGGCTCCCGGGGCCAGCAGATCCCATAAGGCCAATGACAGGGTATCTGCCTTGAGTCAGGGGCCAACGCAGCTCCCCCCACCCCCACCCCGTGTCAGTTGCAGGAACCTTCCCTCTACACCATCAAGGCTGTTTTCATCCTAGATAATGACGGACACCGCCTGCTGGCCAAGGTAACCTCCCACCCTCACCGGAGGGCCCCTAAAGATTGTGTTACTACCCCAAGAACAGAAGTCCCCACCCAGCTGACTCTCCTGTCCCAGGAGAGACCTACTGTGGGCTCTGTGACTCAGAGCTGCTCAGTTTAGACCCTGCAAAGGTATTCTGTCCATCCTTCCTTTTCAGACTGCTGACCCCTGAAGGGAGGAGTGTCTCCCCTGTTTCTAATCATGTCCCCTGAAATATCTTCTCGTCATCCTTTCCATTAGCTAGCTGGACATGGAAGGGCCCTCCTGAGGGGTCAGGGGAGTGTTGAGCCTGGGACCCAGGACTCCTAATCCCCAAATTCTAAACAAGCAACTGCCACTTTTTTTCTACAGCTTAGTAAACACTGAGGATTTAGTCTGAGGAGCCTAAGAATTTAGAACCAGACAGGATTTAGAGACCACATAATCCAGCTCTTTCATAAATCAAGAAAACGTGGTCTAGGGAAGCTAAGTGAATTGCCTGAGGACACAAGTGTTAATATCAGAACAGAGATCTGAACTCTGGTATTTTGACTTGGAGTTCAGGAGTGTGTCTTTCACTGCACAAACTAGTCAGTTGTTATCTGATATCTATCCCAGGGAAACCAAATTAGGATAATCCAAATATAAATGTCTACCATCAACACAATTAACTCTAGTAGGGATATAGTATCTAAACTAGCTATGAAATACATTATAGATGTGTTTGTTTGTTTGGGGCTAAAACTTTATGTCTTCATGCCTTCAGCAGGGAGACTACGAATTTGCCTACAGTTGGGGTACTAAGTGGCTTAATCCACATCCAGAAAATTGAAAGCTGACTATCTTGTCCCAGCAGATAGATAGAAATGGATCAGCAATACCAAAGGTTTTAGGACCTCCTCTCGGCAGGACACATTCATGTTCAGGTTAAGAAACTGAGTCAGAGAGAGAGGCTCACCAAACCCAAACAAAACAGTGTTGATTTAATTGTGCAGTGTATGCCAGGAACTTTTCCTTAGATATTTAGTCTTCACCATAACTCTGCCCGAAGTCAAACCATCCCTGGTGTTGAATTCCAGTTCTGCCCCTATAACTGTGAGATGTTAGGAAAGTTACCCGGTTTCTTCATGCCTCAGTTTTCCTATCGGTACAATGGGGATAATATGGGGATAATAAAGTAGTTGTTATGATTATTATCATTATGATGAAGGACCCCAAGCTCTGCCCTCTTTGCAGTAGGCTCAGGTTCGTGTAGAAACAGTGTAACTTGGTGACTACCCCAGTCCTCAGCACACCACACATCTGCTCAACATACAAAAGCCTCTAAAAATCAGGAGAGGCCTCCAAAAACAGGCCTCAAAATTTCTCTACTCTTTATTATTCTTTGCTTAGAATTTGTGTTTATGGGGAAACAATGAGCAGTCGGGCCTAGAGGGCAATAAAAAGGAGATGGGGTGCCCTGGCAGGTGTGGCTCAGCAGTTAGAGCGTCAGCCTCTACACCAAAGGGCCTTGGGTTCAATTTCCAGTCAAGGGCATGTACCTGGGTTGCAGGTTCAATGCCTGGCCCCGGTCAGGGCATGTGTGGGAGGCAACCAATCAATGTGTCTCACTCACATCCATGTTTCTCTCTTTCTCTCCCCCTCCCCTTCCCTTCCACTCTCTCTAAAAATTAATGGGAAAAATATCCTTGGATGAGGATTGGCAAAAAAAAAAAAAGGAGGAAATGGGGCACCTGGCCACCACTCACTGTTCCCTGCCACCCATCCATGGAGGAACTTGGTTCTGTGGAATGGCTATCATCCCTTCTCCTTCCCTTTCTCATAGTATTATGATGACACATTCCCCTCCATGAAGGAGCAGATGGCCTTCGAGAAAAATGTCTTCAATAAGACCAGCCGGACTGACAGTAAGCACCCTCTTCCTCGCCCAGAACTCTCAGATACGCACTGTCTTCTCCATCTGGACCACATCTGTCCTGTCGGCCCTGCACACCCACAGGCCATGTCCTTTTCTTCAGCTGTTCATCTCTACCAATGGGAATGTTCACCTCCCACCCCTCTCAAACCTCCCACCCCCAGTATACCTAGACCTCTCTCTCAGACGAAGAGGCCAACTGAGTTGTGGGGTCCCTCCCAGCCTGAGACTGGTCCAAGGCATTGCACATGGTGGGAGGGGGTGTGGAAGGTGGACCTTGAACTGGGTTTGTTGACTCCTCAGAATGAGGCAATCACTAGAAATAGAGGGTGGAGGGAAGGACACCTAATGGTGGTGTCTTTAGTGCTAGTCTTGGAAAGGGAAGAAGGAAATAGGAGGCAAGGCTCATAGAAGGAGATGGGGAGGAGGGGCCAGGCAGAGGTGGCCAGAACTGAAAGTCTCCTCCACTTCTAGGTGAAATTGCATTTTTCGGAGGCATGACCATCGTCTATAAGAGCAGCATTGACCTCTTCCTGTATGTGGTGGGCTCATCCCATGAGAATGAGGTAAATTCACGAGGTTAGGGTGACAAGGAGGGTTTGTCCATGGGGGAGTGGCTTGGAGTCTGGGGTAGAAGCTGGGTTCTGAAGTCCTACCATTGGTACCCCTCCTTCTAGACTCTGTGGGCTGGTAAGCGACCGGAATGGTTCTTTCTGGGACAAGGCATACCATACCCATTGTGCCCCTTAGGTTCCTTAGGAACTAGGAATGAAGTTCTCTGCAGGAGCCTTTGTTGCTTTTGTTAAACATCACTAGAGAAGGATACACTCAGCATCCCACTGTGGGGCACACTAGTGCTTCCCAGGCCATGCACAGGAGGTGCCCTCCACAGCCAAGCTGCAGTCAGTCTCCAGCCCTGTTGTCTGGAAAGGGACAATTTTCCATGCAGGTAGGCTCTGAGGTCTTCTTTCTCCTTCCCAACCTCAAGCTGTCTCATTTTCCTCCTCCTGTATTTGCCCACCCCAGCTGATGCTCATGTCTGTTCTCACCTGCCTGTTTGAGTCCCTGAACCACGTGTTAAGGTGAGTGAGGTCTTCTGCCCTTCAAGGCCCTTCCCCCAGGCCTTGATACATCACAGAGGCAGGGCCCTTCCTCCCTGCTTTTGTCCTGAAGTCCCTACAAGACTAAGACTGGAGCCGGAGCATCCCCCTCTGAGGCCTCTGCCCTTTACCTGACCACATGGTATCCCCCAGAGCAGAGCCACAATGAGGGTGTGGCCAGAAAATGAGGTCAAGAAAAGCTAAATGGTTTGCCTGAGGTTACAAACGGTTTATATCAGAACAGAGATTCAAACTCCAGTTTTCTGACTTGAGACTCAGGGTGGTTTTCACTGGACCTCCATTCAGTTATTAGGTGTCTATTCCAGTGAGCATGACCTGGGGAAACCAAACTAGGATAGTCTAAAAGTAAATAAATTCCCCAGTCAACACAATTAACTATAGAGCTCTAGCATCTAAACTGGCTATGGAATGCACTGAGGGTTCCATGGTGGGCACAGCATCAATGCCCCATGTGTGGCAGGTTGGGCAAGGAGGGCTGAAGGAAGTGGGCCTGTCCTCTACTCAGGAATCCCTTGCACAGGCTTTACTGCCCTTGACATTGTCCTTTCTAATGCTTGTTGGAGGGGGTATGGTGGGGTATGGATGGAGGGGAATCTGTCTCACCTAGGCAGGGATCTGGCTCCTCATGGCCATGGGGAGGCTCAGGAGCTGTGTCTCCTTCAGGAAGAATGTGGAGAAGCGCTGGCTGCTGGAGAACATGGATGGAGCCTTCTTGGTGCTGGACGAGATTGTGGATGGCGGGTGAGGATGGGGTGGCCAGGGACACTCACAGTGGGAGGTGCTTTTGAAGGTCATCGGGTCTAGATTTCACCCAGCACAATGTTGGCTATCTCTGGCCACCTTCTCCCTCCCCCAGTATATTCCCAGTGGTCTCCTCCCCGCCCCCCTCTGCCCCCGACTCCTGAGGATGAAGGTCGATGCTAGTGTTAGCCAAAGTCAAGCAAACAAGAAAGGAGTCTGATGTCCAACTCTGGCTGCCTGTTGAATAGGCAGGGTTTGGGGGAAATGGTTTGCTTTCCAGGGCCCAGGAAAAGCAGGCAGCAGATACTTGCCCCTCTCTAGAAGGACTTCATACCGGCAGAGCCCTGCTGCCTCCACATCTCCCACTCTTAGAGCCCCAGTCCAGTCTCAGCTAGATGTGTGACCTGGGCCAATTACCTAAGCTCCCTGAGCCTCACTTTCCCCATCTTTTAAATGGGATGATAAAGGAACTACCTCATAGGGTGTGAGGATTAAATAAGGTGATGCTGATGAAGCTCATGGTTCTCCTTCAATAAATATCACCTGTTATTGGTATGTTACTATATTCTCAGGAAGCTGGGTGCCCTTATGAGAAGGGTTGGTTAGTGAATTTCCATGGAGGGCAATATTTGGGGAGAAAAAAAGTTCTAGCTCTGGGGCAAAGGATAATAGAAACTGATAACCCTAAAGACATCCACACACCTCTCATTACATCCATTTTAGAGATGAGGGAACAGAGGCTCAGGGATTCAAGTGACTTGCTCAAGGTCACCAGACAAGGCCAAGATCTAAAACCACTGGTGTGGTTCAAGATTGCGCTATTTCCATGGCACCATATCACATTCCTAGGAGGCAGGGAGCTCTAAGAGATGGGGTACTGTGGAATTCTGCCCCCCCTCCCTCCCCATTGATTGCCTGCTGCTACTGCAAGGCCTTGTGCTAATTGCTGGGACCCAAAAGAGAGGGATAAAAAACCAGGTTTTGTGGAACCAGAAGTATATACAACTTTGTGGAACCTCTTTAAAGAAAGCAAGCGTGTGCGCGCACACACACAATTACAAAATCAGGTGGAAGGCCTAGGAAGGGTCTGTACAAAAGAGGAAGGAAGCTTTATAAGCTTCTGGGTCTGTACCTCCAGCAGGCCCAGTCTCTGCCCCTTGAGTAGCACACAGATTCCCTCCAAGGAGAATCAGGGAATTGTCAGTTGAGTCAATGCCTAAACCAGAGCATTGGCCTGGGATGCTTCTTTTTCTTTTTGTTAATCCTTACCCGAGGATATTTTTTCCATTGATTTTTAGAGAGAGTGGAAGGGAGAGGGGGGAGGGAGAGAGAAACACCAATGTGAGAGAGACACATCAATCGGTTGCCTCTCGAATGCGCCCCAACCAGGCCAGAACGAACCACTGACCCTTCAGTGTGGCTCTACCACTGAGCCTCATCGGCCACGGCTGGAATACTTCTGTCTTTATGAAGGAAAGGACCCGTGGCAAGGGAGCCTGGGGCTGGGGGTAGCCCAGTGATGAGGCATGGAAAAGGCTCTGGAGAAATGTTTCTTCACTTCCCTGGGACTGGTACAGAAATAAAGCTGGGCTTCTGCCCTGGAGGAGCCAAGTAAGGAGGAGCCCTCACTCAGTCCCCGTGGTCTCTGTCCCACCGCAGTAAGGCCCTCACACCTGCACCTGTGCACAAACCCACAAATGGCTCCCGAGCACCCCCAGCACATCATGAAAGAGTGTGCTCTAGCTGAGAAAAGCCTCGATGTTTGGGTCTGTCAAAAGGGAAGATAGATTCTGAGTTTTGGAGTTCCATTTCTTTTGTATATAGCGTAGAATAATAGTGAAACAACATAGAGACTCCAAGGCAACTCCCTTCACCGAACTTTCCTGAATCCACCCCGACCCAGAAGGGGGGTGACTTTCAAGAGCTCCAAGTTTTTGAGCACAAGCTTTTCATACCTGATTGTTCGGACTAGACTCAGTCCATTTCACAGCATTTCCCCGGTGACAACCAAGCGTGTGACCGCCAGGTTTGAAGTGTAGAAGAATCAGAGCTGAGGGATCTCCATGGTCAGGGAGAGTTCTGACTTGAGGAATGTCAGTGGGAAGGTACCCTGGAGGGGGAACATTGCAGGATATGGTGACTGGGGGAAGAGGCTTAGCAGGGAGACTGCAGAGGGGAGGATCACCTTACTGATTTTCCTCCTGGTTTCCCTCTTATCTTGTAGCGTGATTCTGGAGAGTGATCCCCAGCAAGTGATCCAGAAAGTGAATTTTAGGGTAAGAGTCTTCCTGCATGCCCCCTCATCGCTGGGCTGCCGCCTC